AAGTTCGGCATCAATATGGTGACCTCCCGGGAGCGGGGGGCCACCAGGTTGCCTAAGGAGGGGTGAACCGGCCCAGGTCGGAAACGGAGCAGGTCAAAACTCCCGTGCTGATCAGTAGTGGGATCGCGCCTGTGAATAGTCACTGTACTCCAGCCTGGGCAACATAGCGAGACCCCGTCTCTTTTGCGTTCGCTTCACGTGACCCACGGGGACGTTGCTGACCTGCGTTTGCCAAGAACACCGTGAACGCGCGTTGGGGAATCATACTGTAATTATTAAGGACACAATTGTGTAGCAACGACTACGTGGGAAACAAGACTAAGGCTGAAGGGGAATCTTGCAACACTCTTTGGGAGAGCAGGAATCATGAACACAGCGGACAAGTGGAACGGCTATGTCTCGTGATAGTGTAACATTGTCCACGTCGAAGCCCTGGAGTCGTCCCTTTAACGCTATGGGAAACTGTAGTGGTCCGCGGGGGGCACTGTAGAAGCTGCCCTGAATCGCGAAGTCCAAGGAGGTACGGTACCTCGACTAATCTGTGAGCGTTCAAAGGAGGAATGTGGATGTCAGAGGAGTGGAGTCTATTTCGAATTGTTTCCGTATAATAAAATTCAAATCGACAGCGAGCGATATAGTCAGCCAAAATCTTGGGAAACGTGGACTCCTTTCGCTTCGAGGAATATTGGGCCTTATGAGCGGCCGTAGTTCCCAGGCAAGTGCGCCTGCGCAGCACAGCGGCGTTGACTCCTGCCGTCAGCAGAGGAAGCTGCTGTGGCGGCGGCCCTCGGAGCTCACCATGAAGACCCGCTTTAGCACCATTGACCTCCGCGCGGTTCTTGCAGAGTTGAATGCCAGGTACAACGTAACGTGTTGCCAGGCTCGTGAGAGACATTCAGAGGGCACAGCCCGGGGCTCCGCGGTGACAACAAGACCCGCCCGAGGTTCCCCTAGCCCCTCAGTGCTGCCCTGTGGACAGGGCGACAGGCCTGGATGGGTGAGCGGCGGCGCCCTTCCCGGGGCCTCCGGCCCTGGAGTGCCCCGGCCGCCGCGCGTCCGCTCCCCGATTCCCTCTGGTTACCCGTCTTGCCAGGTCCCCCGTCCGAGCCGCGCGAGGCTCTCGCCTGCCTTTCTGGGGGTTCCCCGGCTCGACATCCTCCCGGGAGACTTCCGGCAGCAAATGCTTAGTAAACCGAGGTGAACCCCGGCTTGGTCGTTTGCTCCAAAGGTTTCCTAACTGGCCCTACACGCTGTTGGAAAGCTGCTTTCTATTATTCAGTCTAGTAACCTTGTCCATTACATTCCCGCAAGGACTCGTTTCTTTTTAAAAAATCGTAATTAATTGGAGTGTGTTTTACTATAGTTACTATGCCAACTGCTATCGAGGCAAAAAATACTAGATCATTTCCAAAGATTCCCTGCATCGTATAACATGCCTAGAGCTGTTCGGCCCCATTTGTTCTTAAACAGTCACTTATACCCGCATCTGGGGGTGGTTTGCCTGATGGCTTTTTAACTCTGCTCCCCGGTTGACTCCTTAACCTTGGAGCTTTAGCGGACTCCGCTTTCACCTGCGGCCGTTAATGAAGTTGAAGTTTCACATGTTTCAAACACAATGTGTTTCGTTTTGTTACCTGTTTGCTTTCTTTCTGTAGCTTGCTAGGAATGAGAGTACACAATGTTTACGATGTGGATAACAAGACATACCTTATTCGTCTTCAAAAGTAAGAGCATTTTTATCGGCTTGTTTTATCTTTCGTAATTAGTTATGACAACATTGATATTTTCATGTACTTTTAGGTTGTTTCACTAACTTAACTTTGACAAGTGTCCTAAAGAAAATGTTTGATTTTTTTTTTTTCCCTTCTACAGACCAGACTTTAAAGCTACACTTTTGCTTGAATCTGGCATACGAATTCACACAACAGAGTTTGACTGGCCTAAGAATATGATGCCATCTAGTTTTGCTATGAAGGTAAATTTTAAATTATACTTTAAGCTGACATTTTAACTGGTTTGCCTGTGTTGTTATGACTAAAAGGTAAAAATAAAAAGGGTGTTTGGTTGATAAAGGATGATTTAAAATACAGGCAGTCCCTGATTTGCAAGGTATTTCCATTCTGAGGAAGTTTGCAATACTTTGGTGTTTTTTTTTTAGCAAGTTTTCATTATTGCATTTTATTGCCTATAGCTGTGTAAATGCAATCATTATTGGCCTGATTGGAAACATTCCATAGAAACGTCTAGATAGTTTGCGGTGCTCAGTGTCGATTTATGCGTTCATTTGGACAAACCCCTGCAGCTGCAATCTCGACGGAAGGCGTTACTTGGTGTGGTTCTTTTTGCAAGAGGCTTGTTGGTTTGTGTTACCAGCCAAATAGATATTTACCAAGTAACTTGTATTTGGATTTGATGTGCTATTTTTATTTAATTAGGTAGCCCTGATGGTGTAGTTCAGCGGTTCTCAATCTGTGGGTTGCGACTCCTTTGGGGATGAACAACCCTTTCACAGGGATCGTCCCATTCATAACAGTAGCAAAATCACAGTTATGAATTTTCACAATATGAAAATAATGTTATGGTTGGGGGCTCACCCTAACTTGAGGAGCTGTGTTAAAGGGTTGCACGTGGCATTAAGGAGGTTGAGAACCACTGGTGTAGTTGCCTTGAGTTGGGCTGCTAACAAGAAGGTCAGCACTTTAAAACTACCAGCTGCTTCTTGGGAGAAAGAGGAAGCTTTCTACTATTGTAACTAGTTATAGTCTCAGAAACCCACAGACCCGTTCTGCCTTGTCCTGTAGGGTCTCTGAGTCAGAATCGACTTGCTGGCAATGCGTTTTTAATTTAATTACTAATAATATCAAGAATCTTACGGGCAACTAGAAGAGGAATGGTACTTGATAAAAACTGAATGTTATTACATTTAAGTATTAAATAAGTTAGTGAAAAGCTTGATGACAGTATCAGGCTATACTCATAAAGCTGTAGCAGTAACAAGTGACTATATAGATTACCATAACCTTCTTATTGGGTAAGTGTTAAATTGCTAACCGCAGGGACAGCGATTCAAACCAACCAGCTGCTCCACAAAAGAAAGATGAGGCTGCCCGCTTCTGTACAGATTTATAATAAGTGTTGAAAACCGTATGCAGCATTGCTATGAGTTGGAATGTGGCAGTGGATTTGTTTTCTTATAAGCTTATGGGCTAGCGTTTGTATTTGAAATGGCAGGTTAATTTTGAACATGAGTGAAGTACATGAAAGAAAATTTGTGATACTTAGAAGATTAGCATAGAAAGAGACTTAAAAAAAGGTCTGAATGAGGTCTTTGGGGCTGCAATGAGCACTGTTGTAAAGCAACAATGCAAAGTTTGCTATAAACAAAATTAAAATTGAATATGAGATTTTCATGGTTGTCAGTTGTCTGAAGTAAAATGTCTCTTCTGATTATCATCTAAAAGAACTTACTTTGCAATTGTATTGTTTACTACTTTTAAAATACTATTGATGGTAATGAATAGGAGGAACTTATTTTAAAAAACCAGATAATAAAGAATTGTGTTTTACTATATAGATTACTTTTTTCTTCTCTTTCTTGTTAGTGCCGAAAACATTTGAGGAGTCGGAGATTAGTCAGTGCAAAACAGCTTGGTGTGGACAGAATTGTAGATTTTCAATTTGGAAGTGATGAAGCCGCTTATCACTTAATCGTTGAACTCTATGACAGGGTAAGTTAAATTTGGGGAGGGGAGGTGAAGATTTATTCATGTCATAGTGGTGTAAACATGGTGGGAATTATTATTCTTTTTCAAAGTCTGTTGACATAATCAGTTCCACACAAGTAAAATATACCCACTTCTCACTTAAACATCAGGTTTAGATTCCGAAGATCAGGTCATTAGTGAAATCAGTAGAATGCAAGAGTTGGGGGCTGTGTCTTGTTTTTAGTTCTTCCTATGCCCCTTCTCCCCCCATCTAATCACAGGTGTTGGGTGAGCCACCCCTCTCTCAGAATTGCAGTCTTTACTTGCCCTGGGTGGTGACCCTGCTAGTCTTCCATGTGTTCTGGCTCTGCAGCCCTGCATGGCTCCCTTCACTGGCAGACTTACCGGCCCACTGCGTACAACCTCCCCAGCACCTTTAGGCCCTCATGTAACCACCCCTTGATCAACTGTGACCTCACATCCCACTGTTATCCCATGTCCTTTGTTGCCTGACAAGATGTGGATGAATAGGAAAAGGTGTTCCATGACCAGTTGGCTGCTGTCCAATGTGTGGCCCAGTCATCACCACAATCTTCAGGATATTGTTCAGGGAGTTTTGTGGAGGGCAGCCTCACCCTTTATGGGGCCTGGACTGTCAGACATAGAAATTTTTCAAAGTTGTAAATGCTAATGTTGGATATGGAAATAATCACTAAGTGAGAAGTAGGTGTATAATCTTCTAATAGCAACCTTCACTTTACCTGTGAGAATTTAGGGTATAATCATTTAGAATAGCATTATGAATCTGGAAGATGAAGCTATGAAAGTTGAAGAAAGCAGCGCATACGTAACATTTTGAAAGGCCCTCTGGTAGCAGTATGGATTAGTCTTTCGGATGCTGAGCTCAAGGCTGGCAGTTCAAGCCCACCAGCTATTTCACAGGAGAAAAGGTTATCTGTTCCCATAAAGATGTAGTGTCCAACCCCTATGAAGCAGTTCTACTCTGTCCTGTAGGGTCGCTGTGGGTAGGACCCAACTCGATGGCCATGGGTTTGGTTTTGGTTACATTTCAAGGAAGTCCTGATTGTGCTGTGGTTAAAGCGCAGGCCTGTTGATCTTTTTGACAATTTAAAACCTGCATGTGCAATAAATAAGGTAATTGAATAATTTGTTGCAAGTGGAGGTCCAGTCAATTTAAAAGTGAGGCAAAATCTACATAACACTGAGGGCAGGTAAGAGTTGTCAGGATAGTTTTAACCAGGAACAGCATATGTATAGTTGTCTGGTTATTTTGTTACGTTGAAGGTAATCTGACTTTTTAATCTAGATGTTTAAAAAATTTCTTCACTGTCTTTGGCTTTTAATAGGCCTACAATAATGTGTTTAGGAGTGGTTTCTCCTAATGAACCACAGTGTATGTAGACTTGCCTCATACAAATGTAACCAGAAACTCAGCTGATGGTCATCCAGGTGTTAGTTATTATACTTTTTGCAGTTTTATAACTTAATTTGATAATCAGCTATTGATTTCCATCCACATTTAATGTATAATTATACTTCTATTAGTGACTTCTACAAACCACCAGATAATAGGTTTAATATTGCTCAGGATTCCTTCATTATGTTTCAAATGTTGGGGCTCTAGAATGTACCTTATTTTACAGTGGGAAGATTAAAAACATAGACTGGGCAAATGGCATGCTGTTTAGATGTGACTCACATGCTCTTTTTGTTTTGCTACTTGAAGTTATATTTTATTTTATTACAGGGGAACATTGTTCTTACAGATTATGAGTACCTAATTTTAAATATCCTAAGGTTTAGAACTGATGAGGCAGATGATGTTAAGTTTGCTGTTCGAGAACACTACCCAGTTGATCATGCTAGAGCTGCTGAACCTTTGCTTACCTTGGAAAGGTAAGGTGTTTTATTTATAAATTGATTTTATATTGTATTAAAAGGTAAAATAAGTCATATCAGAATAGAACTGTCCAAAAAGGAAATAATTTGTTTATATGAGTAATGTAATTCAGAATGCTTGAATTACATAAATGGACGGAAGCAATTAAACCTTATAAGTGATCAGAAAATGCATGCCTTTTATCACTAGATTTAGTGATAAACATTATATACCTACCTATCTCTGTGGACAAACATCAAATTGACATGTGAATGACAGTGCATTTTTCTTTAAAAAAAATACTTATACACTACTAACTTATAAATGAAACTGTGTGATACTTATATACAACATTTGAGATACTGGTTTCAAGGTATCATAAGGTTGCTTGGGTAGGTCAGCATGACAGTCTCCACTACACTGTTTGCCTTTACTTTCTAAGAACTTTTGGACTACATTTATATTTATTACTAAAGTACTGGTTTCATGAATGAAATCCTTTCACTGTGATTAATACTCAATATATGTTTGTGTCAAATTGATCCATATTAAAAAAAATTTATCTGTAGAGATAGGTAAACCTCACAGAGAACTTCCAGAGTAGAAGGCTTAGAAGAAATGAATTTGGATATATATTTGTCTTGATAAATGGATAACGCATAAATGGTAGGAAGTAAATGTAAATGAATTCTGTAATTTTTGTCGAGGAAACCAAAATGCGTCAAAATAACATGTCCCATGAATCTAATGTTAAAAACTGAATTTAAGTTACTTTCTGACATTAATTTTGATGTCCTGGTTAAGTGAGAGGAGTTATGGGAATTCCTATGGGTTAGAATTCTTTGGGAAGATGGGTGGATATTCTGGACAAAGCTCAAGGAAGTTAAATATTCTAAGAAAAGGGAGTAGGGCTAGAATAGGTGATGTTTGTAGCTGTATTCCTCTGTTTGGAAGAGTTTGTTGACTAACATATAGCAGTGGTTCTTAAAGTTTTGTCTCTCAGAATCCCTTGGAGGCTCACTGGAACCGCTACTGGGGTTCCAGTTCATACCTGCATAGATTATTTCATAGATAGGACATCTGTGAGCACGCCTCTGATCAGTGAAGGGCTGCTGACTTTTTCTCAGTCGACATAGCTCCTACGTTGTCTTAGATTCCAAGTCTCCTTGGAATGCCTTCATAGAGAGGTCCGATCAAAATAGAGGCTTCTGAGGGCATCTGGCCAGTCAGGAACAGCATGAAGGCCTACATGTGACCTGCTTCAGCTCCCAAGGCTGTTTGCCACAAACCTAAGGTGACCAGACGTCCCGCTTTTGGTGGGACAGTCCTGATATTTAACAATTTTTCCCACGTCCTGCGGTGTTTTTAAAAAGTTCCGATTTTTGGAAAGAATGCACGACAAGCTAGGGTATACGGTTTTCAGCTGCCATGTGGCTATTTCACCAGGATATGAGTTTTATCAATGGTGTCCCGCTTTACCAATGCTAAAATCTGGTCACCTTACACAAACCAGACATGCCTCCTCCCTCTATCCTTTTCACCTTATTCTGACACCAGTCTCCTCTCCCACAACTTTCTACTTTTTCAGCTGGGTTCAATAATTTATTGCAGTGGCCTTACAAAGCTCACAGATGATACTTATGATTATGGGGTTTAAATAGATAAGTTAACAGGTTACAATTTGGATGAGAAATGCTCAAGATAGGGTTGTTCAGTCAGGACAGTGTCTTCTTTGCTGTTCCCTCAGACAGGCCTCACTGACCCTTAGCTACTTGGCCTGCCCTCTATCCTGCTTGGGCAATGTTAAAAAGCTTTTTAGGGCTGCCAAAATTACCCAAAGGCAATGCTACTCTGCTATAGCCTCAATCCAAAAGCATTCAGCTCCAGATCTGTGGGGTAGCAAACCTAGCTCCCCAATAAGTGCCCACAAGCACGCACTCCGTAAGCCAGCTGTCTGCCCCAAAACGCTGAGCTTTATTTGCTCTGTGGGCTGGAAAGTCCGCTGCTTGTCTCATGACCTGGTTCCTGGTTCCTAGTTCTGATGTTGCTGCTCTTCTGCCACTTGGTGTCACAGCTTTCTCCTGATTAAGGAGGATCAGTGTGCAGGGATCTCAGGTGTCATGGATGCATCTCTTCCTGGCCCTCTTCTGATGCTGGTAGTGAGGTGTCCCCCCTTCCTGAATCTGAGATAGCTCATTTTATCCCAGAAGGATGGCAATCACAATTAGCCCTGTTATCAATCACTCACAACTGAATCATATCATCAGTATCCTTCCCGCATCTTCTTACCCAGAATTACCAGGCAAAGGAAGGTCATTTGGTGAAAATAAGAAAGAATGTGACAAGAAAATTAAAAACCAAACTCACTGCCATCGAGTCAATGACGAATCATGGAGAGAAGAGCCGTATAAAATAATTCAGTGTGTTGTAGCCAGTGAAATTCAAAGCCGATAGGTCATCTCAGAAGATTATGGCTATTTTGGGGATTCTGAAGGGATACACTTGGTAGATTTTCCTAAAGGACACAGCAGTCATGGGCGCTAACTAAGAAGAAATTTAAAACTGCATTGGTGAGAAAAGGGCCAGGAAAGTGTGCCGAGGTTTTTTTCTCTCCTCATTGCAACAATGCCCCTCGTTCTTTGAGAATTACTAGGCTGTGGTTTAAGAATTCCACTGGAAAACCTTACGCAATTCACCCTACCCCCTGGTTTTGCCCCTTCAGATGTCTTTTTGATCCCCAAACATCAATGATTTGAGTCCCTCCAGGATGCTACACTACTGTTTTGATGTGTGAATTTAGGGGCACAGAGCTCTGCAGAGTAGGGTTAGAGAGATCAGAACATCACCTTCAGAAATGTGTAACCCTAACTAGCCTGTGTGATCATGAGGTGTTGATGGGAAGAGGTCCCACAAGTTCAAAAACACGCATCCAAATTAATATGAAGGGGACTGGATGTAGTAGAGGCCCAGAGTCCACCAGCAAGACAACTGGACAGTTCCTCTTAATAGAGTCTCATGGAACGGATGTTAAATCCAGACTACAGTGTGGTATTGATGAACCACATAACTATCTTCCCCTTACTATTGTGGCCCTTTTGTGGTACACATCAGTGGTCATGTTAGACCCGTGTATGTTCATTTGTTCACCTAAGATCGCTCAGTACATGGTAGTTAAGATAGATAACCCCTCAGAGACACTGAAAGGAGTAACAGTTCCCAGAGGGTATGGGAAGGGAGAGGGGGGCGGGAAAGAGTGGAGTTGATAGCATTGATGATTGTATATCCCCACCTGATGGGATTGAACAACAGAACTGTATGGGAAGGGGGAAGGGATATATTGGAATGAGTAAGATATGTCAAAAATATTATTGAGGGTGTGGAAGGGAGGAAAATGAGCATATACCAAGAGCTTGAGTAGAAAGAAAGTGTTTTGAAAATGATGGCAACATATGTACAAATGTGCTGGACACAATGGATGTATGTATAGATTATGATAAGATCTGTAAGAGCCCCCAATAATATATTTAAAATATATATTATCAAAGACGAAAAGATGTAGATAAACAGCTTCACACTTTCATATTTTTGGTTAATAACGGTTTGTTTATATTATTATGTAAAATGCCTCTTTCATGTGACTTGCACATGAACAAATTAAAGATAAGCAAAATGGCACTGTTAAAAAAATATTAATTTTTTAAGAACTAAATTCAAATTGTCAGGAACTGGGTTAACCTTAAACTACTGTATATACTCAAGTATAAGCCGACCCAAATATCAGCCGAGGCACCTAATTTTACCACAGAAACTGCATTAAAAATGTGCTTAAAGAGACCAGCCAGTCAGGGTGCTATGTAGGAACGATGAAAAATACAACTTTTCTCTAGTTCCTAAATGCTTCCTCCGCCCTTCACTATTATGATCCGAATTCTACCTTGCAAGTCTGGCTAGACCAGAGGATGTACACTGGCACAGATAGGAACTGGAAACACAGGGAATCCAGGGAGGATGATCCCTTCAGGACCAGTGGTGAGAATGGCGATACAGGGAGAGTAGAGGGAGAGTGGGTTGAAAAGAGGGAACTGATTACAAGGATCTACATGTGACCTCCTCCCTGGGGGATGGACAACAGAAAAGTGGGTGAAGGGAGACATCGGACAGGGCAAGATATGACAAAATAATAATTTATAAATTATCAAGGGCTCATGAGGGAGGGGGGAGCAGGGAGGGAGGGGAAAAAAAAAGGACCTAATGCCAGGGGCTTAAGTGGAGAGCAAAATGTTTTGAGAATGAGGACAATGAATGTACAAATGTGCTTTACACAATTGATGTACTTATGGATTGTAATAAGAGTTGTGTGAGCCCCTAATAAAACAATTTTAAAAATGCTTAAAACTCAGCTTATACAGGAGTATATATGGTATTTAACTCTGTGCTCCTTTATCACACTGGCAAAATGATCCCTTATGTTTCAAAGCATTGTGAAGATAGGGTACATTGATGTTTATGAAAATATTATAAATATTGCTGTAAGGTTTGTGTAATGAAGATATATTTGTTACACATAACGTGTGTTAATCTTGTTTCCTAGACTGGCTGAGATAATATCTACTGCACCTAAGGGAGAACTACTGAAGAGAGTTCTTAATCCTTTACTTCGTGAGTAATTTTACATTTGGCAAAATGACCTGTTTGCAAGATAATATAGATTTCAGGAATATATTTAAATATTTTTATTTTTCTTGTAGAAAAGTTTGGAGTTTAAAGTGACTTTTTGAATAATAGTTTATTTTTGATAAAGTAGTTTATTATGTCAAAGTTTGGCATTGTTAAAAAATTAGATTGGGTTAAAAGCAATATTGAGCAAACTGAGTGTGTCTTATTCAGCACTTTGCCAGCTGTAGTTGTCTAAGAAATCAGTATTTTTAATATCTCCAGATGAACCTTTGGTTTATTATTCATTTCACTGGAACTTTTTTTATTGGACGGCTCTTAGCACATCCCAGTGGCTGCCAATCTCATTGGTAACCAGAGTAAAGCTAAACTATTATACGTGAGATCATCACTGTGCAGGGAACATGGAAAAGATAATGGGAAGCATATTCTTTCGATTACTGAGCATTCGGAAATTAATTTTCCTTTCCTGTGAAATTAAAATGCAAAGGAAGTTAATTTGAACACTTCAACTCAATATAGTGTGCATAAAATTTGTGAATCTGAATTAAGCCAAAATCTCACCATGAAAGATTCCTGTAACTTTTGAAACCCAGTAATTTAAGTCCTCCTTTTTTCTTTACAAATAGCTTTGTCTGTTTTAGGTGCTTTTCATTTTCTTACCAGCTCTAGGATCAGCTTACTTATTTTGACAAGAAAGCCTGCTAGGGTTATGATAGAGACTATGTGGTATATGTAGATTAATTTGGGAAAAAATACCTTTTAAACTATTTTGAATCTTTTATTCCATGCACAGGAAATATTCGACTATTAGATCTTTCATTTTTTCCCAGCAATACTTTTGTAGTTTCCAAGGTATAAATCTTTTACTATACCTGGCAAATTTATTGCTAAATAATTTTATTTTTTATGCCAGTATGAATAAAATTATTTCCTTAAATTACGTTTTTGTATAGAAATGCAATTGCTTTTGTATATAGGCTTTTTATATATCCAGCAAACTTGCCAAAAGCTGTTTTTATGAATTTTCTTAGAATTTTCTAGTGTATAGTTCATGTTGTCTCTGAATAAAAATGCCTTCTTTGTTCCTTTTGAATCTGAATGCTTTTACTTTTTGCTTTTTATTACACCAATTAAAACCTTCAAAACAATGTTGAATGATAGTAGCAACAATGAACATTCCTATCTCATTCCTGATCTTAGAGGAAAACTATTTAATAAAAGTATTTCACCATTAAGTATGATGTTAGCTATAGGTTATATTATTATTTAAAATCTATATAATTTATATATATTTATAAGTATGAATATTTATAAATATATAAACTTATATGTGTCATCCGTTTGAGGAAGTCCTGTATTCTACTTCACTTACAGTTGAATTCTGTCAAATGATTTTTCTGTAATACTGAAATACTTTTGGCTTTTGTCCTTTATTTCTGTCAGTAAGGTGTAGTCATTGACTTTTGGATGTTGAACCAACCTTGTATTCCTGGGATAAATCGATCCTTTTGGTCATAGTCTTCAATTCCATTAAATTCTTAACAATTTTTGCACTAACTTCTACAAGTTGATTGTAACCTCACATTTCTACATATACTTGAATCGTCATTTCTAATGACATTTCAAGATAGTATATACACTGTTATTTTCATTATTAAATAAGTTTCCATATTATTTATGTTGATAAATAAATTTGCTATACTTTGAACGCTAACTTTTATAGAAAACTTATTATTCTTTGCTTTTGTAGCTTATGGACCAGCTCTTATTGAGCACTGTCTAATAGAAAATGGATTCTCTGGCAATGTCAAAGTGGGTGAAAAATTTGAAAGTGAAGGTATGTCTGCACAGTTTAAGTTTTGTCTTTTTTCCTTTTATTTCTTTAAAAAAACAACAACTGTAGTGGACAGGTGGGGGAAGAGGAGAACCGAGCACAATGATCGACTCATAACCCACACCCCACGATGAACAATAGAAATGTGGGTGAAGGGAGACAGCGGTCAGTGTAAGATATAAAATAGTAATGTATAATTTATCAAGGGGTCACGAGGGTGGGAAGGGGAGAGGGAAGGAGGAAAAAAGAGGAGCTGATACCAAGGGTTCAACTAGAAAATGATGATGACAACATATATACAAATGTGCTTGATACAGTTGATATATGGAATGGTATAAGAGGTGTAAGAGCCCCCAATAAAATGATGAAAAATAACGAACTAAATAAAATATTAAAAAAAAACAAACTATAGAATTTATTTCTGGAAATGTATTGAGTAGGCAGATAGTTCTAATCTTTAATAAATTGATGCATAAATGTCTGTTACATAAATAAAAGCCAATGTTTTAGATTCTATGCTACACTAATTCAATGCAACCCTAATGAAAATGCCAACATATGCTGTTTTGTTTGTTTAATAAAATTATTTTGATATATAAACAAAAGCATGTGAAAATTTTCACAAAAACTCTAAAATAATAGTGATGGGGAATAATTTGCTCACAGATTAAAATGTACTATGAAGCTACACTAATTAAAATAGTATTATTTTAAAAAGGAATAGATAGAATAAAGAATCCAGGAACAGGTCCACTTATATATAAGGAAGGATTTAATATAGGAACATGGTGCCTTTTATATCATGGAGAGATGATCCAATAAAAGCTATTGGGACAAAAGTCTAGCCAAATTATATCCCTATTTACATAGGCTGATTACAAACATGAAATGACTATGATTTTCGTTAAAACTTTCATTTCATAAGTACTTCTGATTCTCTACATAGTTGGTTAACAGTGCTGAATTGATTTCTTGATTACTATTCCTTTATTTTTCCATTAGATATTGAAAAAGTACTTGTTTGTCTAAAGAAAGCAGAAGAGTATATACAAACAACATTCAACTTCAGCGGCAAGGTAGCACCACTTATATTTATTATGGGTTAGTGTATTTAGATCTCCAGAATTTAAATATTCCTTTAAAAGGTTAATGTAATTTAATCTAAAATCTATTACATGCTTATAATAGTGTTTTTTATTTCTGTTTATAATTTTTAAAATTGTTGCTGTTGTTGTCGTTAAGTACCATTGAGTCAGTTCCGACTCAAAGCAATGCTACATACAGCAGAATAAAACTGCCCAGTCCAGCACCACCCTCAAATTCTGATGTTTGAGTTCATTGTGGCCAACACTCTCTTAATCCATCTTGTCAGAGGCCGTCCCCTTTTTGCCACCCTTCCGTTTTACCAAGTGTGTTATGTCCTCCCCTAGGGACTGGTTTCTTGGGATAGCTTGTCCAAGTGTATGAGATGAAGTCTAGCCATTAGGCTCCTTATACTTCGCTCTAAGGAGCCTCTGACTGTACTTCTTCCAAGGCAGATCTGTTTATACTTTTGTCAGTCCAGGGTACTTTGTATATTGTTCACAACACATCAATTTTTCTTTGTTTTTTCTTATTCAATGGCCGATTTTCACATGCATATGAGGCAACTTAAAATACTATAGCTTGGGTCAGGCATACCTTTGTATGTAATATCCTTGCTTTTCAACACTTTAAAGATGTCTTAACCAGTAGATTTACCTAATACATATCTAAGGTTGTTAATAAGCCTCCCTTCAGTTCTGATGCCACATTCTTCATATAGTCCAGCTGCTCTGATGATTTGCTCAGCATACAGATTAAATAACTATGGTGAGAGGATACAACTCTGACACACACCTTTCTTGATTTTAAACAATGCAGCATTCCCTTGATCCATTCGCACAAGTGCCTCTTGACCCATGTATAAGTTCCGCATGAGCACAATGAAGGGTACAGGATCTTGAGGTTATCCATAATTTGTTATGATATATACAGTCGAATGATTTGGCATAATCAGTAAAATACAAGTAAATATCTTTCTGGTATTCTCTGCTGTCAGCCAAACTCCATCTGACATCAGCAGTGATATCTCTGCTCCATGTCCTTTTCTGAATCCAGCCTGAACCGCAGGCAGCTTCCTGTCAGTGTGCTGCTTTAGCTGATGTTAGATGATTGTCAGCAAAATTTTACTTGCATGTGCTGTCAATGATACTGTTATATCAGTTGAGTTCTGCTGGGTCACCTTCCTTTGGAATGGATACAAATATGGACCACTTCCAGTTAGTTGGCTAAGTAGTTGTCTTCCAAATTTTCTGGCAATAACAAATGAGTGTTTCAGCAGCTTGTTGATACAATTCAGTTGTTATTCCATCAATTCTTGGAGCCTTGTTTTTGGCTAATGCTTTCAGTGTAGGTTGGACTTCTTTCTTCCTTTGGTACCATTAGTTCTTGGCATCTGTACTTGAGATGTTCTCATAATTTTTGTGGGATATACCCAAGGTGGTATTTTGACTTTTGTGGACTTGTTTGTATTTTCTTCAATTTCATCCTGCACTAAGACGGGCAGTTGATGGTCTCTTCCACAGTTGACCCCTGGCCTGTTTTTAGCTGCTGCTATTGAGCATCTGCATCCTCTCTTCTCACAGATTTAGTCAGGTTTATTTCTGTTTATTCCATCTGGAGAAGTTCATGTGTATAATCGCTTTTTGTGTTATTGAAAAAAGGTTGGTTTTTTTTGGTTTTTTTTTTAAAAGGTATTTGAGATCTATCTATAACCCCTTCCCAGGGGGATGGACAACAGAAAAGTGATGGGAAGGGAGATATCGATCAATGTAATATGAAAAAATATTAATTTATAAATTATCAAGGGTTCATTAGGGAAGGCGGGTAGGAGAGGGAGGGAGATAAAAAATGAGAAACTGATACCAAGGGTTCAAGTAGAAAGAAAATGTTTTTAAAATGATGATGGCAACAAATGTACAAATGTGCATGACAATGGATGTATGTATGGATTGTGATGGAGAGTTGTACGAGCCCCCAATAAAATTATTTTTAAAAAAGAAAGGTATTTGCAATGAAGAAATTGTTGGTCTTATAAAATTCTATCTTGGTCTCTAGCTTCTTTCTGTCACCAAGACCATATTTTCTTTTTATTGTTTTTTTTAATCATTTTATTAGGGCCTCATATAACTTATCACAATCCAAACATCAATTGTGTAAAGCACATTTGTACATTCATTTCTCTCAAAATTCTCAAAGCATTTGCTCTCCACTTAAGCCCCTGGCATCAGCTCCTCGTTTTTCCCCGCCTTCCCTACTCCCCTCTCCCTCATGAACCCTTGATAATTTATAAATTATTATTTTGTCATATCTTGCACTATCTGACGTCTCCCTTCACCCACTTTTCTCTTGTTCGTCCCCCAGGGAGAGGAGGTCACATGCAAATCCTTGTAATCGGTTCCCCCTTTCCAACCTACCCTCCCTCTACCCTCCCAGTATCGCCACTCACACCACTGGTCCTGAGGGGATCATCCGCCCTGGATTCCCTGTGTTTCCGGTTCCTATCTGTACCAGTGTACATCCTCTGGTCTAGCCAGACTTGTAGAATTGGGATCATGATAGTGGGGTGGGGGGAGGAAGCATTTAGGAACTAGAGGAAAGTTGTATTTTTCATCGTTGCTTCATCACACCCTGTCTGGCGCATCTCCTCCCTGAGACCCCTCTGCAAGGGGATTTCCAGTGGCCTACAAATGGGCTTTGGGTCTCCACTCCGCACTCCCCCCATC